TTTTTTACATGTAAGTAAAGTTTTAAACATTGAAAGCAAAAGGAGGATTTTCAAGGACTTTCTTTCTTTCTTTTTTTTTTTGGTACCAGGGATCAAACTTGGGTCTTTGCGCTTGCAAGGCAAGCAGCAGAACCACTAAGCCAAATCCCTGGCCCTAGGACTAACTTTCTTTACAGACATGGCACAGTTTTTAAAGGCCTTACTTTCTTGCTTATTCTTAAGAGGTATGTATGGATTAACCAATATCCAGGCCAGGTTCAACTATGGCAGCCTACAGTGCTGTCAGGGATCTGGCTGGCTCCCATCTCCCTAGCTCACTGAGGAAGCCCTGTGCTCCTAAGTGGGGATACTGGCTTCCACAGAGAGTATTTATTCCGAGTAAGAGTAGAAGGTCAGGACTAGTAGACAGTTCATTCACTGCAAATACTATAATAAATGAGAATTTCAACCAAACAGTTGGAATTTTAATACTTTTATTTCATCAAACTTCAATTTAACATTTGTAGGCAACAACAAAAAGGCCGGGGATTTAGTTCAGTGGTTGCGTCGCCTGCCTGAACAAGTGCAAGGACCCGAGTTCGATCCCCAGGACCAAAAAAAAAAAAGAGACTCAAAATGACCCTCAAAACATTAAAGACAAGTTTATTGCTCATCCCACTACTTTTCAGCTAGTGAACTATGTAACAAACAGGATTCAAACAACTGCTAGCCTTGAATATCACAGTGACTCATTCGTCCTTTTTAAAAATTTATTTTTAGTGTTAACAGGCACTGAACCCAGAGCCCTCCCATTTGACCTACACACCCCTAACCCTTTTTTGTTGTTGCAGTACTGGGGACTGAGCCCAGTGCCTTCCCACAGAGCTACATTCCCAGGCCCTGTTTTGGAGACAGGGTCTCCCTAAATTGGCCAGCCCCTTGCACAGCTGGGATTACAGATGTGTGCCACACCCCTAGCTGATTCATTCATGTTTACCTAAGAGGTATCTCTCTCTCACCCAATTATTATTAACTTCCCCTCATTTGCAGATATATTCTAGAATAGTTTTCAGAAGTATTTTGTGTTAAATAAAGATTGTTCATAAGTTCTCAATCAACACAGATATTCTGGTAAATGCTCTTCAATGAAGTGGATCTTTTTTTAAAAATTAGAATCTTTTAATTAATTTATTTATTTACTTTTGGTACTGGGGATCGAACTCAGGACCTTGCACTTGCGGGGCAGGCAGCCACACCACTGAGCTAAATCCCCAGCCCTATTTATTTATTTTTTGAGATAAGGTCTCTTTATGTAGTTCAGGCTGGCCTTGAACTCACTATGTAGCCCAGGATGGCCTCATAATTCTGCCTCAGCCTCCAGAGTGCTGGGATTACAGGCATGCGCCACCACACCCAGGCTAAAGTGGATCTTTTAAAATACCATTTTCTACCAATTATTTTTTGCCACAATGTTACAGCCAAACCTGAAACACTATGTGGCCAAAATAATGTGTAGCAGGATAAAGATAAATATATTTGAGCACTAAAAAATATTAAATACCATAGTAACAAGATTTCCAAACCATTGATGGGCGAGTTCATGTCCCACAACCAGAGCAACCCACTGGCGTGATGAAGAACAGGAATTTTTTGGATCAATAAGCAATGCAGTCTCCCTGTGTTAAAAAAAAATTGCAAAAACAGTGGTATGCTTAAGTCAAGATGATTCAGACAGTAAACAAGATCATTAGGTTCAGCTTTCCAGATACCAAAAAACATTTTTTCAGCCTATAGAAGACAGAAAAAGTTCTAAGACAGAACACTACCCAGACAGAATTCATACAAGATGAGATATGTACCATAACCCAAGTTTAATTGTCAGTTTGTCGTCTTAAATGTTGGAAAGACTATCTAAGGGATTAGGGATGATTGTGTTAAGAGAAGAAAACACCTCTTCCACTAAATGAGAGGAGCAGCACGGGAAGATGCAGGCCACAGCCCCCAAAAGAACACTGAGCAGGCTGTCCAGACCCAGCTCATCTAAAAGGCAACTGAAAGTAGAAGGCAAAAAACTGTTTACAGATTCTGCTTTAAAAATTATACAACCCACATGTTTGCGTTGCGGTGACAGACATAAAAACTTGGCTAGAGGATACAAAATCAGGGGAGGTTCTTCAAGCTGGATAAATAACTATGAAACTACTGGGAAGAAGGAAAGGCACAGAAATGAGAAACTCAGCCAAGAATGTAGCTAAAAATGCTACTAATGCCAGATGCTCGCTTTTAAAGTCTTACACCCTCAGATAGTAGCACCAGAGGGGGAAGTCCATCTGCATTCCTGAAATGTGCACTGAAATGGGAGGAGGCAGAAAAATTTACACCAAATCATAAAGCCACGCTATTCAACGGTGATTGGGTATGCACTGCTTATGAAGTCGTGACTGGCGAGAGAAGGGAGGAAGCATGCGGCCAACCTACCTGTACGTAACAAGGCCCCAGTTCTCCATGGCACCTTCACAAAACAAACACAAACACTTATGATGCATACATCCAGACTTCTCCCTCAAAATCACAAATTCAAATAAAGTTACTACAATTCAGCAACAAAATGAAATTTACTTTACCAGCTGCAAAGTCTGCAATGGCAATGAGATCAATTTTAGGTAGAGGATAAGGAACATTGAAGTAATCCTTATAAAAAGGCAAGGTTTTAGCAGCAACCTATAAAATGATAAACAAAAGAACCATTTGATCAATATTTTATTAGAATTCATATAGAAATACACAAAGGAAACCTGTTGCAAACCAAAGTATCTCAAATTACTAGAAACCAATCCCAGGGACCCCTGCCTCCTCAGCCCCAAGCTTTGTATAACTGGTCAAACTCTAACCAACTTATAACTTAAAATAGAAGCACATATTTCTCACCCATTCCCTAAATAAATGAATTCTACTTTTATATTCTCTTTTTTTCCAGAGCTGAGGTTTGAACCCACAGCCTTGTGCACGCTAAGCATGCTTGCTACCACTGAGCTATACACCCCCAGTCCTGACTTTCATATTCTGTGTATTATTATCTTGTAGTGTTAATGCAACATCAAAGTTGGTATTTTCAACACACTATTAAAAATAAAACCACAGTAGCACAATAACTTTCAGATTAAATTATAAATAATGCACTAATAATTGATCAGAAATGTAAATTCCCCAACCTGGAGTTATGGACTGTTGGAACAATCCTCTTCAAGTACATTTACCTCTAACGCAAATTTTCCTTGCTCTGCTTTGCCAACTGGGGTGTACACACGGACACACACACCATCTTTTGACCTTGTTTCTACAAAGTCATATTCACCCACAACAAATGCCACCAAATATGTAGACATAACAGGCGTGCGGGCGAACTTCACTTCCACTAAATTTTCATCATCTGGGTATGGTTTCCGGTCAATTACATTCTTTAAAAAAAAAAGGGAGAATTTAAACAGATTTACATCAATACCTTGGAGCAAACACTGGCCAAAAACTACAGATGTGAATGCTTTTCTTTCCCCGTGCCAAAATGGCTTCCTTCCCTACCCCAGCTCATCCAGTGCTTTTAGTCTGTCAAGATCCTTCCTCTTAAGAAGGGAAGTGATTTGATAAAACACTCATATGAAGAAGTTGGGAGCAAAAGTGTTAAAACTACCAAGGACCTGTGAAAGAAAAGAGGAATCAACTTGTTGATTATAGGCCACAGGCTGGGGTGGTTTCAGACCTCAATGCTTTTCAAATGAAATAATGATAGAGAAAATATTTATTAATAAAAATACATGGAATTATGGAATTTGTCAATTTAAAGGGTATGGACTTTCTGCACCTCAAGTATTCTCTGTAGCACAGCTGACTCTAAGGAAATGTGTGACAAAATTTCTGTTTTATCTCTAGAGTTCCTAACCCCCCTCTGGTGCTCTCCCCTTTTCCCATTCAGGCTCAGTTTCCTCCAACTCTCTTCCAAGGAAGACTTACTCAAGAGCAGACCTGATAAATTCATCGACACTTAGATGTAAATGAATACTTCAGGTTAATGTATTAGCCTCCTCTTGAGGGAGGCTAATAGAATGATGTTCTGCAGATGGAATCCTTCCACCAGTAAGCAGGCAATAGCCAGTTATGTTAAGGCACAGTGGGCTTTTCAAAGATCCCCAGAGTCCAGGCTCGAGGGAGCCACCGGTCTTAACCAGGAAGCCCCAGAGGACACTGTGAGTGGCGAACACTTACGGACAAGATCAACCACGTCAGGGAAGGGGACACAGTCAAAGGATACAGTCAGCCAAAGGCTACGTACACTTCATACAGCGCTGTCTCCTGTGCACCCCCTTCCCGGGATCAATCCCAGGGCCTTCACACTGAGATACGTCCCTAACCTTTTTTCATTTTGAGACAAAGTCTCGCTAACTTGCCCAGGGTGGACTTGAACTAGTGACTCTCCTGGCTCAGTCTCTCAGAATGCTGAGATTGCAGGCATGTACCACCAAGCCCAGCTTATCTATTTAACAAGGAATTTCTTTCATGACAGAAGGTTCCGCCACCTGCCTTGCAAGCAAAAGGACCAGAGTTTGATCTCCTGTATTTAAAAAAAAAAAAAAAAAAGACAAAGGAGCTCACTAGAAATAAAGAAAACTAACATTGGCATTTTTACTATGTACTAAGCACTGTGCAAGTTGCTTTCATGTTAGCATTAAATCATACCAAAGCCTCTTAAAACTAACTATAAAAACATACATACCATGTTCGATAAAGCTACTCTGTCTTTAGGAACAACCAATGAGATATCAAATGTTGCTTTGATGGCCGGTTCATCCCAGCAAGGAAAAGCCCTCCGGGCATCAGTAGCCTTAAGAGAAGAATTGAAATATAAATATCACTAAGTTCCATTTCTCCATCATCCACCCATCCACCCATCCACCTATCCATCCATCCCTCTGCTTATCTGTTCAATAGGGTATTTACTTTCTAGTCAGTGGCAAGCAACAAGTGAGGCACTGACTAGAAAGAAAATACAATGCTTGCTACCATTTCCATGAAAGCAATTATCCAGGAACTAGGTCTGCTACAGATCTTAGTATGTGAGAATCATTTGTAACTATGTTTTCATTTTTAATAAGACATTCCAACATTTCAAATTTACTGTGAATGGCTCTATCAACAAACAGCACAGCAGAATCCACCTGTAAGGATTCAAGCTGAGGAAAAATGATAGGGTGCTTCTCTGGATTTTATTATAAAAATAAAAATATTCTCAACCTTTGATGTCCTTTGCTCTTTATCTGGAATGGCAGCAATGGAAATAAAGACAGACGTTCTATCAAATCGAGACATGTCATTCATTTAATGACATTTCCATACACTACATGTAAAATGTCATCATCTGACCTACTCAAAGAGATCTCATTCTTTCTTTGAAAAGAAAAGAGAGAAGACTTAAATTTTGTGATTCTGAAGAGCTACAAAGGAAAATATCTTTTGTAAACAAAACAAAATCAAAATGGAACAACTGACAAGATTCTGTATCACGAAAAGAAGTAAGAAAACATCCAGAAAAGTACACATTTCTGAAAAAGGATTTACCTAAGGAGAAAATGTTAGATGGCTGACTGTATTCCCAAAGAAGTTAAATAAATCATGAATTCTATCACATAAGACATCTGAAAAGAAAGTAGAATGTAAGAAAGGAAATTATAGCACAGAAAATTTTAAATTAGAAGCAGCAACAGTAGAGAAATAAATTTCTACTACAGGAAATTAAATGAGTGACAGGATAAGACTTAAAAGTTTCTAAGATAATCAAAGGACAGAGTGATGAAACCAACAAAAGGTACATTTGCCAGACACACTGGAGCTAAGCCTATTACTCACTGATGTCCCTTAAAAAACAGATCTGAAAAAAAAAAAAAAGAACAGATCTGAACAGATACAATGAAGATAAAGGAAAACTGCTATACTGAAGGAAGATCAGAATCCGAAAAAATCAATAGACAAGTACTATGCAAAGCTCATGAAAAGTGAATACCTGTCAACATTTTTTTAGTTGTTCAGGTCAAGAAATAATTTGATAGGCAAGAAGAAAACAAAGCAAAACAAAATAACATGCTACCTAACAAACGAAGAAGAAACATTCTAGTCTATGATTCTTGACAAAATGAAATGCAAGAGACATTGGAACCATATTTATAGACAATTATAGGGGAAAGTTGTCAGCCAAATGTACTACTGTTATAGATGAACAAATTGGGTGTATCACTCACTGTTTCACAGAAGAGCTCACATAGCTAAGGGACTACAGGGTATCTCAGAAAGAGCCAAAGAAAGAACCTATTCAACAAGTGTGGGTGCTGATCTGGTAGAGGATCTAAGGTGCTGCCAGGGCACAAGGTCAAAGCAAGTCTAACATTGTAGTGGGTAAAAAAGTACTTAGTAGTCCTCATGTAACAGAGAAGGAGATGTTTGGTATTTTGTGGTAGCACAATGACCCTGCTTTTGTCTCCGCCTGAATAAAATTTTGAGATGTCCTTCTTTTGTCTCACTTGATCACAGTCTCTGAGTAATATCGCCCGAGACTGGAATCCTGTGATATTGTTTATGTCCAACAAGAGAATAACATGGGCTATCTGTGAGTGTGTGGACAACTTCCAGATGTCAGAAGTTGCTCTCTTTTTCTTGATTATCATTAAAAAAAACACCATATACCCAGTCAAACTGGTCATGTATAAGGCAATGAGAGATTTTCAAATATGTAAAAGTTCAGGAACTGTATTACTCACCTATCTTCTCTTAAAAGAATTGTTTGGCTGGAGATGGTGGTGAATGCCTGTAATCTCAGCCTTCAGGAGACTGAGGCAGGAGGATCTCAAGTTCAAGGTCTACCTGTGCTACACAGTGAGACCCTGTCTCAAAAAAACTACACTCCAGGGGCAGGGAATTTAACTCAGTAGTGCTGCACCTGCCTCACAAGCGCAAGGTCCTGAGTTCAATTCCCAGCACCAAAAAAAAAAAAAAAAAACCACTACATTCCAGCCAATATGTACAACAAAGTGTTCAAAAAGGTTAGAGACAGGTGGTAAAATCACATTGAAACAGAAAAATGAAGCCTAACTGTTATGGCAGATGGTATTTTAATAAATGTTTTACTATTTTTTAAAAATGTTATTTTAAAACAGAAAGTAACAGCTGAGCATGATGGCACATGCCCATAATCTCAGGCCTCTGGGAAGCTGAGGCAGGAGAATCAGATGTCTGAGCTCAATGTGGGTAACTTACTGAGACCCTGTCTCAAAGTTAAAAAATAAAAAATGGACAGGGATGCTGCTCAGTGAAAAGGCCCTGGGTTTAATCCCCAGTACCAAAGAAAGAAACATCAAAAAACTCAGAAAGGACGCTAAAATTCTTTTTTTTTTTTTTGAGACAGGTGTGTTATGTTGCCCAGGCTGGCCTTGAACTCCTTAGGCTGAAACAACCCTCCTGCCTTTGTCTCCTAAGCAGCTGTGATGATTGGAACACACCACCACATCTGTTAACATAAAATACTTGAAAGAGAAGATATACCTCTTAGAAGCTATCTTTCTCTCAATAAATTTTTCCTACTCTAAAAAAAAAAAAAAAAAGAAGAGAGAGAGAGAGAAAAGATACACCAAGTAAAACAAACTGATACTAAACCAGACCTAAAATTTCTCTTTATGCAAACAAACAAGACAGGGGTAGGGGTAGAAACTTAAGAATCGGCAACATCAATTGATAGATTTAACACATGAGTGGCCATTAGCAGATTCAAATCCAAAACAACTTATATAAATATTTGATGAATAAGGATTTTTAAAAGCCCTGATAGTATACTAAGATAAACAAAGGACATGTCAAAGAAACGCTACTAACCAGCTAATAATGCAGTAGAAAAGCCAGCTGTCAAATACTAAGAGGACGATTTTAACATACAACTATAAAAGCAATTCAGGTGTTCAAATTTTGTCACCTGAACATGTGTGTGCATTATACACCTGCATATACTTCTCCAACCCACACCCTCAATTCCCTCCTTTCTATAGAGACAATGGCTGATTATAAAATAAAAACCCTAAAATCATGACTATTGCCATGGCCAAAGGTCACTTAGCCTCAAAATCACTGCAAAGTAAAGGTAAGTTTGTCAAAAGCGTACGGTAAGAATCACTGTGTCCGGGAAGAACAACACCTACCTCAAACTGCGTCACTGCAGCGTAGCGCACCTCTCCAGAAGGGGTGGAGTATTTACTCCTATAGAAACCTTTCATTTTGTCATTCAGCTCGCCAACAAAATCTATCTTTAAGGTTCCTGTACCTGTGATTGAAGATAAATTAAAAACCCTTTTTATTGTGATGTTAAATAGTTACCAAAAACAAGTCCTCAAGAACTATATTCAGTTGGCTATTTACAATGCTCAAATCCTTCCTTCCTTCCCCAAATACTCCTCCTACCACTGGAGAGAATACTCTATTTATGAAAGTAATTGGCAAACTCATCCTAAAATAACTTCAAATCATGTTTGGGGTGACTGCTTAAAAGCTCTTTAATTTTATTAACTTAGTCTCAGATTACAAGTATGTGAAGATAAGAACAAGAAGGGAAATATTTATTATTAAATGCCAGACACATGCTATTGAGCATGGGGCTTTTTAAACATTTATGACCATTTATAAAATCCCCATTTTTTTCAGATGAGAAAACTGAGGCTGAAAGGATAAGTAACCTGCCAAAGGTCATATAATTAGGAAGCAACAAGAATGGGATAAAAAGTTTTAACCTGGGCTGGGGATTTAGCTCTGTGGTGCTACCACCTGCCTCGCAAGCACAAGGTCCTAAGTTCGAGGCCCAGTACCAAAAAAAAAAAAAAGTTTTAACCCAATTTCATGTTCTCTACCAATTACTATATGGACTGGTTTTCAGGAACTTTGTGAATCATTAAAAGATAAATGCCATCCAGGCAATGCAAATGGAGCACTGACTGCATACTTCTGCAGGGACTACAGTGGAAGACCACTGATTTCAACAGCCGAAGGGCGTAAAAAACAGACACCTCAATCGGGTGAACATCGATATTAAAGAAATATATCAATAAATTAAATCCAAATAAATTCAACCTAAACATATATTCTAATATTGTATAATAGCAAAACCAGTTTGGACAAAATGTGAGTTTCTATGAGTATATGTACCTATGTATGCTTCTGTTTTATTTTTGCAGTCCTAGGGGTCAAACTCAGGGGCCCTCTACTACTGAGCTACATCCCAGCCCTTTTCATTTTTATTCTGAGATGGTCCTTTTTATTTTTATTTTGAGATGGTCTCACTGAGTTGTCCCGGTGAGACTCAAACTTGCCATCTAACTGTCTCCACCTCCCTCAGTGCTAGGATTACAGGCGTGCACCACCACGACCAGCCTCTGAAGAACTTTAATAACAGAAAAAGGCAATCATTATCTAGCAGTCATCTGTAAATTCAGATGCAGGGTAAAACTATAATCCCATTCCACCTACTGTATTATAAATCAAGTCACAGAAGCACTCAGAAAAATGTTCACTTTGTAATTCATTCTTTCAAAGTGCCTATTTATAACAAGATCTAGCACATGGGAGTCTAACAAATAAAAGATAAGGTATGATTATAAAGTAATTAGCTAACTATATCAAGCTTTTATATTCTAATGTTCCAAGTTGTCATTCTGGAATGTTGTAGAAAAATGACTTTGTTTTTTGGTACCAGGGATCGAAATCGGGTCCTTGCGCTTGCGAGGCAAGCAGCGGAACCACTGAGCTAAATCCCCAGCCCCAAAATGACATTTTAAATTGGTCAGAATGTTCTTGGTTTTCTCTCCTAAGCTATTTTTTTTTTTGGATGATCTTAAAGTCAAATCTTCATCCTCTAAGGCTAAATTTGCTTTCTGAAAAAGTCCCAAATCAAAAGGAGTACAAGTCTACAGAGTAGGTGAAGGGTGAAGTGCAAACTGTTCCTATTAAGTTGCTTTTATACAAAAGCAAAGCATGTCCATGAAGGAATTAATAATGTGACCTTCTTATGTGCCTCCAACTTGTTCTCAAAGTCATTTATGTGAAAATTTCAGACCTCTGCAGCAAAGTCATCCCTAGAGAAAGTGCCACATTCTTACAGTAATCACACTACAATAACATTGATGATTCAAGAGAAGCTTCATGAATAGTTATCTATGATGGTCATTTCTTTACATCTGTGAATATGGGAAGGGACAATAAACACTTTTTTTGGGTGCTGGAGATGAATCCAGGGCATCACACATTCCAAACAGGCCCTCTACCTACCACTGAGCTACACCCCAGCACCAATGAATACGTTTTTTTTTTTTTTTTTTTTGAGACAGGGTCTTGCTGTGTAGCTCAGGTTGGCCTGGAACTCACAGGGATCCTCCTGCCTCAGCTTCCCAAACACTGGGATGACAGGCGTCCACCACTTTGCCTGGCTACCAATGAATACTTTGTACTTTAAAAAGAATGACAGATTACTGGAACAGTAAACATGAATACAGTAAACTAATCTGTAAGAATTCTAAACCATTAATACTAAATAAACAACATATAATACAGAATTTAAGTAAAAATAATTAAGGATTTTTATTTTCTATTTCTTTAGGAATTCAAATTTTTAAGGAATTCACTAAATTTTTAAAAAAGCAGATCTATTCATATTAATAAACTTTCCAAGGAATATCTAATGGATTCTAAAACCCCACTATCTTTAATAGGAATTTGTTTGATGGAATTTTATGTCATAATCCCATAAATGGAATAGCTGGTATGTTTTCATGAAGTCATGTTAAGATTTTTTAAAATATAACTCATTTCACGGTAAATCCTTCAACTTTTCCTATTTGAAACAAAAGTGGATTTAAAACTCATAACTAAATAAGAAAGGCTGCTTACACTTTTACTCGGTTTTAAATCTCCAAGTCCATCAAACCATAACAAGATATTGACAGTGACCACTTCCAAAAAGTGGTATACTAAATAAAATACAAAGTATTGGAAAGGCTTATTACCTGAAATTCAAACAAAACACAAGTTAAAGTTTTCAAAAATCATAAATAAATTTATTGTCACATTATACAATACTAATTACAGAGTTAATATAGTAGAATTTTAGGGTAAGCAGGAGAAAAAGGACTTTTTGGCAGATTTCACTTAGCAAATTTACAATATATTTATACCATAATGAGTTAGTTGATTGCCAGTTGGTCTAATTTTATACCTATTCACACACACAATTTACACTGCTTCCTCAAATTAGTACTTTATTTCAAAATCCAATGTATTTATCTGTTTAAGTGGTAAAGCTTTTATAACATAATGAGCTCATTTATAAATTAGACAACTAAAGAAAAGGGACATCCACCAAAGCCTTACATGTTTAACGTTCAAGAGAGTATAGTTGTTGTAAAACCAGAAGATCTTTAATATTTTAACAAAAAAGAAAGAAATTTAATGAGCCTACAAAAGGCTCTAAAAGCCAAATTAAATTATATAAAAAGTGAGTGAAAGTCTTGCCTTTATGTCACCATTTCTTATTATCCCGTTTTTCACTTTAAAATGCTAAGAATGACTAGTGTTTCTCCATATAATGCCACTCTACGGACCCTTAACCACTGATTCTGAGGTTGTCAGACCCTACATTGCTTATGACAACTTCCCCACCATTCTAGAATGCCATCAATCCAGAAAAATCAGCTGCAGATATATCACCAACACGACTGTTAAGTCTGATGGAGCTAAACACAGAAATTGCTAATGTCATCACACATGCAATTTCTCCTCCTGCAATGTGCTAAAATTTGATTTTTTTTTTTTAAACAGTACTAGGGATTAAAACCAAGACACTGAGCTATATCTCCAGTCCATTTTTAAATTTTGAGACAGGGTCTTGGCCAAATTCCTAAGGCTGGGCTTGAACTTGCAATTCTCCTGCCTCAGCCTCCCAAAGAGCTGAGATTACATGTATGCACCACCATGTCCAGCTAGAACTCTTTTTTTTGGGGGGGGGGTACCAGGGACTGAACTCAGGACCTGGCGCTTGCGAGGCAGGTGCGGCACCACTGAGCTACACCTCCTGCCCTAGAACTTCATTTTTTTAAGATTTAGTTTTTTTCTTTTTAATTGACACATAATAATTGTACATATTCCTGAGGTAAAAGTTTCATTCTTACAGCAAAAAAATGGGTAACTATGACCCTGAGAACTTGGTCAAATGTAAAGACAAATGATTTTAATAGATTTAAAATATTCAATATAGTCATACTTGCAGGATTTTCTTGGCTTAACATTTCTATCAGTTATTTGTTATATTAGCTAAAGATGTTAACAAAAATCGCGGAACTGGGGCTGGGGATTTAGCTCAGTGGTTTCGCTGCCTGCTGCGCAAGCGCAAGAACCCGAGTTCTATCCCCTGTACCAAAAAAAAAAATCGCGGGCCCGGGGATTTAGCTCAGTGGTTCTGGCAGCTGGCTCGCAAGCATAAGGTCCTGAGTTCGATCCCCGGCACAAAAAAAAAAAAAAAAAAAAAAAAATCGCGGAACCTATGTTGAATTGTAGTACATTAATAGTTGCAACCTTTCCTGACTTAGTCCTGCTCTTATTTCAAATGACTGCACCACTGATCAAGTCTGGGCTGGGGACGCGACTCAGTGGCAGAGCCACCTGCTAAGCAGGCACAAGGCCCTGGGTTCAACCCTCAGCACAGCAAAAACAGAGAGAAAAGAATGATGCAGTTGTTGTTAAAGTGATAACAAATGACTTCATATATAAGTATATATACACGCAGATACAGTACACACTTAAGGGGAAAAGAAAGGTGCACATTTATGAATGGCAGGATAACGTTTACATTTTAAAAGTATACACATAAACAAGAAAATGGTATCATTTTTTAAGGATACACAGGAAACTGCTCTTGAGGAGTAGAACTGAGAAATGAAGACAGGATAGAATGGCAAACACATTTTTTGCAATACATCTGAATTTCAAACTAATTACCTGTATGCTGTTTTTCACTATTTAATTTTTAAAGTAAAAAGCATAATGTGGTCAGAAGTACAGACTTTTCAGCTACACTGCTTGGCTTTAAATCCTAGCTCTGTCACTTACTGTGTGACTTTGTACTAGTTATTTAAGTTAATTAAACATTTGTGCCTTGGATTCTTTAGATATAAAACAGACACTAGACTCTCACAAGGTTGAGAGAATTAAATAAATTATTAGTATTATGAGTTTCTTTAAAAAGGTGAGGTATCACTCTGTTGCTCGGGCTAGCAACAAGCCCAAGGCACCCTCTGGCCTCAGCCTTGGATGTGTGCCACTTTGCCTGGAGAAGTTTTTTCATTTTGGTTTTTTTTGGTACTGGGGATCGAATTGGGTCCTTGCGCATGCACAACAGGCAGCGAAACCACTGAGCCAAATCCCCGGCCCCTAATTCGTTTTAGTTTTTTGAGACAGTCTCGCTATGTAGTTCAGGCTGGCCTCGAACTCAAGAGCCATACTTCTGTCTCAGGCTTCTGTGCTGGGAGAACAGGTGTGTGCCACCACCTCCGGTGACTGCAGAATTTTTCATGATTTTATTTTCTGACCATGCTGGGAACTGAACTCAGGACCTCACGCATGGTGGGTAAGCACTCTACCACTGAGCTATGTTCTCATTCACAAGTAATGTTTTTGATGTAGTCTACCTGGCATAGATTAAGCACTCAATATACATGTGGATGTACAATGCAAACCTTCTATCATGTTAAGAGTGTCTATTTTTGCCTAACAAATTCCAGCAAATATATTGTTTTCTTTTAATAAGTATGGTATCTTTAATAGTCTTACTTAATAAATAATGTACCATATTTCCAAATGCTGAACAAATGAACCTATGCCATTTTTCCCTACATTTGGAAAGTTTATAGCTCTTCTCAGATTATTTTAAAAGTCAGTGGGGGCCGGGGATTTAGCTCAGTGGTGCCACCGCCTACCTGGCAAGTAGAAGGTCCTGAGTTTGATCCCCAATACCACAAAAAAAAAGTCACTGTTTTAATATTTCTGTTCCTCCATTCTTCATTTTCATTATTTTCTGCTCTTAAATTTTGGTTTTCTCAGGCTGGGGATTTAGCTCAGTGGTTTCGCCACCTGCTGCGTAAGGCGCAAGGACCCGAGTTCGATCCCTGGTACCAAAAAAAAAAAAAAATTTTGGTTTTCTCCTCTACTTTCTTCACATTACCTGCTCTTCTTATATAATTCTGAATCTGATGCTTAGGTAATTAATTTCCAGTTTTTCTAAACTAAATATCATCTTTGTATAATGTTTTACCTAAATCCCTCGTGTGGTAATTTCCTTTTTCAATGCTAAGTATTTTCTTATCTATTTTATTTGAGACAAGGTCGTCTCTCTACACTGCTCAAACTGGCCCGGGCTAGGTGACCCTCCCACCTCAGGCTCCCAAGTAGCTGGAGGTAGAGCATGTACCACTATACCAGCTTTTTCTAATTTTCAAAACAAGTCTTTTTTGATTCATTATTCAGAGGTATTAATTTCTGCAAATTATGTGAGAAAGAGTGGGCTTTTAAATTTTTTGATACTAACTTCAAATCATTTCACAGTATGAACACAGAATGTAGCCTGTGATTATATCAATTTAAAACTTTAAAAAATTTTTATTTTAGTCTTATCAAAGTAATAGTTCATAAGTTAAAGCTCATATAAGCCTGGTGATGCATGCCTGTAATCTCAATTACCTGGAAAGTTGAGGCAGGAGGAGCCCACATTCCATTCCAGCCTGGGCAATTTAGCAAGACCATGTCTCAAAATAAAAAGGAATAGAGCTCAGCACTCCCCAGATTCAGTCTCCTCCGGTACCACAAAACAAAACCCAAAACCAGCTCATATACTACTAGTAGGAGGCTTATTTATATAAGCTGCTGGACTTGCTCAACATACGTTAACACCCCACATTTACCTCTAGAGGCAAACAATTTTAATGTTGATTTCTAAATATTTGTTTATAGAGTGTAACTATTCAGTTTTCAGTTTCAGACATTATTCTCTCCTTACCAGAGAAAGTCATGTTTTAGCTAATCCTTCCCTCCATCTCATATCTTTTGCACACAATTAAATTTCCTATCACCGTGCGAATCTGAAAATTTAGTTATTTTACTCTCATACATATTCACAGCTTGGCTAAACACAGAATTCTAGTTTGGAAATCAGATTCACTTAGTATACTGATACAATAGCTTCATTAAAGTCTATTTTCCATTGTTCCCAACAGAGTCCAGTGCTATTTTGATTCCTAAACTTTGAAGGTAGTAAGTCAGCCTTCCTTTCTTCTGCTCCACCCCAAAAAAGAAACTCTCAAAAGCCTCAACTTATTCCAAAAGTATTAAAATTTCATCTGGTGTGGTACTTTTTACATTTTTTTTGTTGTTGTGGTTGTTTGTTTTTAGACAGGGTCTCACTATGTAGTTCAGGCTGACCTTGAACTATGTAGCCCAGGCTGGCTTTGAATTTGCTGCCATCCTCCTGCCTTGGACTCCCAAATGCTGGGATTACAGGTGAGCGCCACCACGTCTGGCTATTTTCTACATTTATTGAGTTGGTTTCTCCCAGTGATGCACCTTTGCAAACTAAAGGCTCCAGCCTCATCAGTTCAAACAAATTTCTTATTTTATATCTTTAATAAATTCCTGTTCCCATTTTCTCTGTCCTCTCTGGCACAAAGTGATGTTGGTATTTTGCTTTGTTGTTGCCACTGGTTTGGTTATTTTGGAGACAGGCTCACTAAGGCACCCAAGCTGGCCTCGAATTCGCAGTCTTCTGCCTCAGCCTCCCAGAGTGCTCGACTGCAGGCATGTGCCACCATGCCCGGTGGACAAAAGTCTTGCTGGACTGGTCCTCAAATCTTCTGGTTTTCTGTTTCCATTTCTTTGTTTTCCTACTGTTTGGGAGATTCCTCAATTTCATTTTCCAAACTCCTATTTTTTTTTTGGTACCAGGGCTCAAACTCAGGACCTTGCGCTTGTGAGGCAGTCAGCGCCACCACTGAGCTAAATCCCCGGCCCCTATTTAAATCTTTTTCTAAAAGTACTTTTATATGGAGATTAATAGAATCTCAGTATAAAAATTTTATAAACCAGACAGGTACAAAATAAGAATAAAAGTCACCAATTATGGCAACACTCAAACATAACCCAGACATCATTTTATTTGTACCATTTCAGAGACATGATTCATTGACCTGAATATGTACTTTCATAATCTGATTTTCAATTTTATTTCATATTGAGTACTTTATAGTGTTAAGAATTCACAAACCAGGGCTGAGGATTTAGCTCAGTGGTTTCGCCGCCTGCTGCACAAGCACAAGGACCCAAGTTCAATCCCCGGTACCAAAAAAAAAAAAAGAATTCACAAACCCTTACCACTAAATACATTTTATTCATATGTCATAATTAGCTTAGTCATTCCCTCAGTGCTGGACAAATATATTCTGATTTTTTACCATCACACTGAATGTCTTGATGAGATATTTCTAGAGAGAAAGCATCTTCTATACTAAAATAGTTCCTTAGAATACATTTTTATTAGCAGAACTGTAGAGTCAAAAGTCATGAATATATTTAGGCTCTTGATATATACTGCTTGTCAAAAAAATTACATGGCCGGAGATTTAGCCCAGTGGTTCCGTTGCCTGCCTAGCAAGCGCCATGACCCAAGTTCAATCCCTGGTACAAAAAAAAAAAAAAAAGAGAGAGAGAGATTTCCAATGACACAGCCGCTGTGATATTACTAGTAGGAGTGTAAATCCATGTAATTTTTTTTTTTTGGTACTGGTGATCGAACTCGGGTTCTTGTGCTTTCAGGGCAGGCGGTGGAACCATGGAGCTAAATCCCCGGCCCCCTAAATGTTTTTTAAAGGGCTGAGGATGTAGCTAAGTGTGAAGGTCCTGGGTTCAATCTCCAGTACAAGGGGAAAAAAAAAAAGGGAAACTCAGCTCATCTAGCTTCTTTTTTTTTTGTACCGGGGATCGAACTCGGGTCCTTGTGCTTGCGCAGCAGGCAGGGAAACCACTGAGCTAAATTCCCGGCCCTGGAAATCTCTTTTTTAACTTCAGCTTACATGATGAGCAAAAATTTGCTTAGTAATAGCTCCCGTTTTGTTATTTTCATTACTAGGAGGCTGAAACTTTTTTAAAACTTAAGTTATTTGCACTGTCTTCTTTATGAATTCTCTGTTCCTTTTATTTGCTAATCTATCAAATTCTTAGTGCTTTGCCAATTGATTTGTGTATAATTTCTTCCTCTATCTTAAACTCCATTTTCTCTTTTCCTTCTGATTTTTATAGCTAATAATAGTTAACATGTCAATAAATCTTCCCTTCTATGCTCTCACTAACATACTGCCAAGCTCATCTCTGGCTGTACATCAAAACCGTGTGTGAAATAGTCACCTCAGAGATCTGGCTTCAAATAGTAGAAGATGAAGCTAGGTAAATGTATTTTTTAAAAGCTGAAACAAACAAACAAAAAGTATTATACTCTACACTACAATGATGCTTAGTTTTTGGTCTGGCTTGTCTCTCTGTTTGCTTAGGAGAATATAAAGTGACAGGACGTAGAAACCTTGCTTGCCATAACCCATAATTCTTAGGGAAAAATCTTCTGATGCTGCAAATGTTACAATGAACTTTTTTTATTTAAAAAAGTTCCTTCTTAAAACTTAATCTACTAACAACAGTAAGAGCAGAAAGGTATACAATAAATTTCCTTGGAAGAAGTAAGATTCCATTATTTATCACGAGTTGTACACAAACTACATTTCTTACCTGTTTGGAGAGTGCTAGGAAAAGACAAGGTGACTTTTTCATCTTCATTCTGATAGTTAAATCCCGTGGCATGTATTTCTAGAAAGGGAAAAAAAAATTACTTCACAAATCTGATTCAATAGAGGAGACCAAATCTAGATTGCAACCATTAACACTTTCCAGAGCAAAATCTCTAATACAAAATATTCATCTAGTAAATCAAGTTCCTATTAACAAGAGTGTTGTTTCAAATTAACCTATTTTAGGCACATGGCCTAAGTATGCTCCCTAAATAAAGTTACACTTTTCTGTCTTTGTTTCTTTCTTTCTTTCGAACCCAGGGCCTTTGCATTGAGCTGTATCCTCAAAAGTTCCTTATTTTGCGACAGAGTCTAGTTAAGTTGCTAAGTTGCTCATGCTGGGCATGAACTTTTGATCCTCCTGCCTCATCTTCCAGAGTGATGGGATTACCATGACCTGCTTTGGTTACTCTCTCAGCTGCAGTCTTACTTGTGAACATTTGATGTAGTAAACTGCCAAGACTGATGTTAATGATTTTGATGTTGATGAAAATTCTGTCCCTACAAGACAGATGATAATTGGAACTAAGGCACAAATCAGGTGCACGTTAGATACAATTCTCTGTTGTTAAACTGTACGGAAGTGAGATGAAAACACACGTGGATTAAATTAAGGCACTAAGAAAAAAGAGACTGCCCCCCCCAGCCCGAGACAGGGTCTCACTGTGTAGCCCAGGCTGGCCTTGAACTTGCAACCATCCTCCTGCCTCCGCCTCCTGAGTGCTGGGATGACAGGCGTATGCCCCCCATGCCCAGCGAGAAACTGCTTCTTTGACTGCTACTTTAGGGTGCTTAGTTGACACATTAAGGAAGAATCACGGAGACCAAGCTCCAACCACTCACAGCAGGCCAGCCAAGGAGGTGCCTTCACAAGTGTGTGAAAGATACTTGGCACCAATAACCGTCAGGCCAAGCAAAGCCACACTCTACTTCACACCCACTAGAAGGACTACACCCAAAACTGTGAGGGAAGATGTGCCTGCCTCGAAAGCCCAAGGTCCTGCGTTCGATCGCCAGTACCAAAACAAAAAAAGAAATGAAATGTTGATCTGTACTACAACATAAATGAATTTTGAAACTATTGTACCAACTTAAGCCAGATACAAAAGGCTACATATTCATGCAAAATGTCCAGAATAGGTAAGAGACAGAATAGGTAAGAGACAGAAACTAGGTTAGTGGTTACCTAGGAATGGGAGGTTAAGGGGGAAAGACAGTGACTGCTAAGAGTTATTTTCTTTATGGAGTTATGAAAATGTTCTAAAAGATTCTAGTTCCGCAGATGGCTATACAGCTCTGTGAATATACTACCCACTGAACTGTATGCTTTAAACAGATGAACTGTACGCTATGTGAATTATAGCTCACTAGAATTTCAAATGTTTATAGCATCACTATGGTTCACACATTTCTTTTTCTTTTTTTTGTACCAGGGATCGAACTTGGGTCCTTGCGCTTGCGCAGCAGGCGGCAAAACCACTGAGCTAAATCCCAGGCCCAGTGGTTCACACGTTTCTATAAAGCCAAATCAAAATTTTTTTTTTTGAGACAGAGTCTCACTATTAGTCCAGGCTGGCCTTAAACTCAAGGTGATCCTCCTGCCTCAGCCTCCCTAGTGCTGGGATGACAGGCATGGGTCAACATACCCAGCTTTTTTTTTTTGGTACCAGGGATTGAACTTGGGTCCTTAGCTTGCGAGGCAGGCAGTGGAACCACTGAGCTAAATCCCCGGCCCTCCCAGCTTTTTTAAAGCCAAAATTTTTATAATGTTATTCAAATCTCTAAGCCCCTATTTCCATATCTATAAAATTAAAATCATATCATTACCTACTTCCTATTTATTTGCTTTGCTTTATTAAATAAACTCAAGACCAGGGGTTTTCTATGTACATCTATGTCCCCTTATGATCTGGGCAACTTGGTAAGACCTTGTCTCAAAATGGAAAATAAAAAGAGCTAGGATGGAGCTCTGTGTTCCAAGTTCAATCCCCAATACGGGGGGGTGGGGGTGAAGGGTGGAATCGGCCACTCAGATACTCCTTACTTCCTAAGGCTCCAAGAGGACCTCCTTGCTCGAAGGCAGAATAACCTGAGACATATCATAATTCAAATGTAAGCAACACAGTACCTATCTGGCAGTTCTGCATTTCTAAGCGGACTCTATTTATATAATACAGTGTGGACACTATTATAATAGCTATCTTAAAAGTCTAAGGCGAATTAGAATATGCCAAATATAAAATGATCAGACAGAACAAAGAAATCCTTCTAATCTTATGCCTACTGTTTTCCCCCCTTTGGTGGGGAGTAACTGGGATTTGAACCCAAGGCCTTGCACACACTAGGCAAGTACTCTACCACTGAACTACATCCCTAGCCTTTTTACTTTGAAACAGGGTCTCATTAAGTTGCACAGGCTAGCCCTGAACTTGTGATCCTCCTGTCTCAGCCTCCTGAGCAGCTGCTTAGGGGACACCTACTATTTCTAATAACTGATTGCTGAGAGCCAGATGTAGTAGTGCACACGCATAATTCCAGCAGGCAGCGCACAAGAGAGGGGTTGTTAGGCAGGACAACTGAAAGCCCAAATCACATCTGGGAACGTGGCAAGGCCCTGACTCAAATTAACAACTAGAAAGGACTGGGGCTATAGCTCAGTGCGAAGGCCCTGGGTTCAAGCCTGGAAACTAAAAAAGGAAAAAAAAAAAACCCTGATGAGTATTTAGTTAAAATCACTCATCGGCAGTACAAAAATTAGAGGAAGACAAATATGTGGAGTTGGGGCCTGGTTTTGCTCTGGTGATGTGGAGTTACACTCTTAAGACAGCTCTTCCTTCATCTGTAAAACACTCATGGGCATTGGCATGTAGTGGTGGGCTCTGTAACACAAACAAACTGCCCTGCCCCTCCCCTGACCCCAGAATACAAATCAGCTGGGGGGGGGGGGTCTCAGTACAGCACAGAAGGATGAAGGGTGAAGGGGGTCGAAATGAGGAAGAGGCCACTTTTGCTCTGGGGTCATTTGCTGAACTGGCAGAGATGCTTCAGAGGCTGAGGGGCAAAAGCTGGAATCCGCAGGCTCGGTGATACACGTTCATAACCCCAGCACTCAGGAGGCTGAGGCAGAAGGATCACTGTGAGTTCAAGGCCAGCCTGGGCTACACAGCAAGAACCTGTCTCAAAAAAAAAAAAAAAAGGTGGAATCCAGGACCCCCCAGGACTGAGAACTTTGGGAAATGGCCCTCTGCTTTGGCCTTGAGACCTGGAAAATGACATCCTCATAATGAAGATGAACTAAATTTAAGAAAACCTGAAGTTGTGATATTAGAAAAAGGTTTCCCCGAGTAGTTGTGACCCTAAGATGAAACAAACAAAAAAATCTTCTCTAGATGAAGATAACACAATCTGATGTTGTCCACACAACTTTCCTAACTCAATATCTAGTATTCGATCAAATACACTCCAGCATATCAGAAGAACAAGACAAACTAAAAAACAGTGAAACCCATGGCCAACAAAACAAAACAAAACAGGGCCCTCTAAACAGTAGCTGGATATTACATATTCACACACCTCCTGACTACATTCAAGGGGGTAAAATACTGAACTAGTCAGCTCTTTGCTTAGTCAGCTCTGACTATTTGATACCTAATACCCGACATCCACAACTTAGAGGGTTTATTTTTGCTCGCTGCGATTTCACTCTCTGATCATCTGGCTCAGGGCACAGCGGGCACAGCTACTCACTTCATGGTGGCCCAGCAGCAGAGCAGGGAACAGTCCCAGCAAGGACGAGTCCAGGCCCCATGGCTGCACGACCCACCCAGACATTTCCAGTGGGCTCTACCAAACCCGGAGGGAGCTCTCCAGACAACCAAGTTGACAATACCAAGGAAAATGTGGCAGAAAATGGTGCTGGGAAACTAGATACCCACATACGAAAGAATTAAGTTGGGATATTTACTTTCTACCCATATATAAAAATTAACTCAAAATGGATCATAGTTGGGGACTGTGGCACATGCCTGTGATCCAGCTACTTGGGAGGCTAAGTCAGGAGGACCGCAAGTTCAAAGCCAGCCTGGGCAACTCAGCAAGACCCTGGCTCCAACAAAAATGGTTAGGGGTGTAGCTCAACATTAAAGGAGTTGTCTAGCATGGATGAGACCTTGGGCTCAAGCCCTAGCACCAGAAAACAACAAAAACAATAACAACAACAAAAAAAGAATCAAAGACCTAAAAGAGAGAGCTAAAATAATAATAGTTTTAGAAGAAAAAAGATTCAGGACACTGAGTTTGGTATGTTTTCTTTTTTCTTTCTTTTTCTTTTTGTTTTTTGGGTTTTTTGAGACAGGGTCTCATTATGTACCTAGGGTGGCTTCAAACTCTCAGTGATCCTCCTGCCTCAGCCTCCTGTGGTATGAGTTCTTGCATATGATACCAAATCCATGGACAACAAAAGAAAAAAAAGAGAAATCTGACTACATTAAACTTAAAAATTTCTATTCATCAAAAGACACAACAGAAGAAGCAGCATGCTAGAAAACATTGGCAAATCATGTATCAAGAGGTTGAAAGTCAGAATATATGACAAACTTCTACAACTTCAGTAAGAAAATAACCTCATTTAAAAATGAGCAAAGGGGCTGGGGATTTAGCTCAGTGGTTTTGCCACCTGCTGCACAAGCACAAGGACCTGAGTTCAATCCCCAGTACCAAAAAAAAAAATGAGCAAAGGACTTGACTAGACATTTCTCCAAAGATTTACAAATGACCAAGAAACACACACAAGGGTGTTCAATATATTAGTAATCTTTACAGAAATGATAATCAAAACCACACTGTTTCATACCCATTAGGATGGCCACTGAGGGAGATGGGGGGGATGACAGAATGAATTAGTGAGGGCATGGAGAAACTGGAACTCCTGTGTTCAGTAGGTGAGAATATAAAATGGCACAGCCACTAGAGAAAATATTATGGTTGTTTCTCAAAAAATTAAAGTTTTACTATATGATC